GGGGCCGAAGGACGGCTCGGGGCTGTGGTCTCGCGGTGGGGCCGTCGAGGGTTTGTCGTTGAAAGCTTCTGGATCCGTTCCGAACGGCTTCGGAAAGCCCTTGCGTGGCCGAGGCTGGCCACGAGGGCTGAGCTGAGCCCCTTCTTCTCCGGTGGGGTGGGACCCTCGCCTTCCCAGCAGCGTGTGAGGATGAGGATGGACGCGCCTGGAGGCCTCAAGCTCCCGTGACGAGCGGCGCCGATCGTCGGGGCCCCCCGGTGCTTTGGCGCCGGGGGGGGGACACACGAGCGGATCTGTGCTGGTGTCCTGAGGGAGCTGTGTTTTAGGGGGGGAGGCCCTTCCTCGGGAGCCAGGGGGGCTCCTTGCTGCCCGGGGGGCGACCGTGGGTTTGGTGGTTCCTGCGGCGCCGCTGGGCTCTGCTGGGCAGGCCTGGTGCCGCTGGCTTGTCGGGGACGGTTATTTCACCTGAACCTCGCTCTGACTTCCTTATCATCGTTAATATTCCCAGGCAATACCTGTCATCCTCTGGGAATTTCAACCTCTTTGCCTCTTCCCCTCGTTTCATACTTCCCTGCAGCCGCAGCATTTGGGAGCCTGCGAAGGCCTCACGACACCTAGTGAGGTGGATCATCTCCTGTACCTCCCCCTGGAGGTGTTTCCTCTGCGTTCTCCCGCCGGCTCTAGCCCTTTGTTTGCCAAAGATCATCCCCGGCTGCTGCCTCTGACTGGCTCGGTCAGGCTCTGAGCCTGTTCTCGGGGTGCCACAGACACCCCCCGAGTTGCCCCGGGGCTCTTCAGGGCCCTTTGCAGGCAGGAGAACGGCTGGCAGGACTGGCGGCGCGGTTCTGGTGTCCGGTGAGGCAGAGGATCAGCTCGAGATGCTTTTCCTCTGTGCCTGCAGATGGTGACCCTCTTCCAGATGTGGGTGGTGCCCCTGTATTTCACCATCAAGCTGTACTGGTGGCGGTTCCTGGTAATCTGGGTGCTCTTCTCGGCGGTCACAGCTTTTGTCACCTTCAGGGCAACTCGAAAACCTCTGGTGCAGACGACGCCCAGGTGAGCGCACGTCTTCCCGGGAAACCTCCTCGGCCCCAGGGTAACCACGACAGGGAGCTCTTCCCGCTTCTCCTGCCACAGATCCTTGTCTTAAACTTTGCACCCCGGGAGGGCGCAACCCCTGCTCGTGTCGCCCTGCCGGCTGGCAGCCTCCCCGAGGGCGTTCCTGGCCTGGAGCACGCTTGTTCACGGCCTTTGGAGATCCCAGGGCTTCCAGTTTGGAAGTCAAGACCGTGAGCGACCTAAGGCAGCCCCAGATCCGTAGTTTGAATTAGGAATTTTAAGCTCTGTTGCCCACAGCGGGAGGTGAAGGGTCCGCAGGCGCCACCCTCCGGGTTTGAGAAGCGAAACTCTTCGGGTGCTCGGTGCAGTTTCGTTCAGGGAAGATGAAGTCGTTAAATTCCTGGTTTAATTCTTTACAGGCTGGTTTATAAATGGTTTCTACTAATATACAAGATCAGCTACGCCACTGGAATCGTAGGGTACATGGCTGTGATGTTTACACTTTTTGGTCTTAACTTATTATTCAGGTGAGTGAATTTTTTTTTTTGGGGTGCTGCTCCCAGGGGTGGGGGGTGTGGAATCAGGCGATGACTTTGGAAAAACAGTCGTTTTCCCGATCTGATTGATGGGGCCAAAGAGACTCTTGGGGTGTCCCCTCCCTGCTGGGAGGATCCTGGGTGAGGTACCCGAACTGGTCGGCGTCGCTGGAGAGCCCTGCTTCCAGCTCAGCCGTGTCGGCCCCTCCTCCAGCTCTCCCCGTGTCCAGCTCTGGGGGCAGCAGGGAGATTTTTCCTTGCCCTCCTAAAGAGGTACCTGCAGCCAGCCCAGGGGTGGTAGCAGAGGACCCTAACCCAGGGTTTGGAGAGGTTGATTCCTTCTCTGGAATACGAGCAAACCTGGCAGCTGACCGCAGAGGTGTGGAAGGGTTAACTGGGGGCTTACTGGGAGCTGATCTGGTGCATGAGTGAGTGGGAGACGAGTGCGACGAGTGCGGTTGCTCCTTCCAGAGGCTGGTGAGGGCGATGGGCACCAGGGATTAGGCAGCTGGGGGCGTTCGAGCTGCCTCTCCAGTCAAATCCTGCTTGTTGACAGCGGGAGGGACTGGGGTTGTGCTGGGCAGGCACCCACAAGATCCCCGGGGGTGCTCCCTCCCGGTGTCCGCGTGCCTTGGGGGACCGCTCCTGCGACGGAGTTTGCGCTGTGGGCTCCGTCAGCACGCTGGCTCTGCTCCCCCTCTGCCCCCAAAAAACCCCTCTCCTCTTGTTGGTTGGGCTCTTCTGCAGAATCAAGCCAGAAGACGCCATGGACTTCGGCATCTCCCTCCTCTTCTACGGCCTTTACTACGGGGTGCTGGAG